AGGTGGCTCAGAGCCTGCCCCCGCCGTCAACCTGGGAGGCCCCAGGACAGGGCTGTCAGTCTGACTTCTGCAAGGAGGGTCTCAGAAATGTGAGGGCCTTGGGCGGAGAAAAGGGTCCTCAAGTCGGAGAAAGGACAGCATTTTGGGTGTAGCCAGGAGTCAAGGTAAAATCTCTGTGCGAGGACTGAGGGAACCTCCACCCTGCTGACAACCTGCAATGCCTGTGGACTGGTGGCATGATTCAAATTCATTTCCTGCTCTGGTATGGGGGAGGGTTGATGAGGGATTTTGTCTAAGGCAGGGGTCCCCAACCTATGGTGAGTTGTATAATTATTTCATTATATATTGCAATGTGATAACAATACAAATAAACTACAAAATAAATGTAATGTGCCTGAATCATCCCTAAACCATCCCTCACCCCCCTGGTCTATAGAAAAAATTGTCTTCTATGAAAATAGTGCCTAGTGCCAAAAAGGTTGGGACCGCTGGTATAAAGGGTATGACCTAAGGTTTGTTGTATCAGGTTTCACTGGTGTTTCCATGAGTTAAGGTGAAGACCATAGTACATGAGGGGAACACTGACAGTGATGGTACCACAGAATCCTTTTGACCTGTTATCAGGCTTTGGAGATGATAGGCAGTTATGGTGGTCCTCATATACTCCTTGCGAGTCTCAAAGGATACTAACAGAGAGAGAGAAGTCCCAGGCCCATGCCAAAGGTCAAAGGATGGTTTAGGGGACCATCCACCATTTAGTAGAAAATAAAGAATCTGAGCTCCACCCTTGCATCAGCACCAGAAGGACCAAGGAAGGAGTGTTAGGCTAAAGCTCTCCTTCACTTCCTTATATTTAATCTAAAAGAGGTGAAATCTTTGGTGTGAGGTTGCAGCCACCATTCAGCAAAAGGAAGTTGTAACAGGCACTACCTAGAGAACAAGTGAGTTCTCTGCATGAGAACTGAATACCCAAGCAGTCCATAGCAGTGAGGGCTTTGATAGTCATGTACCCCTTGACAGGGATGGTGGGCAGAGAAGCTCCTTCACGTCCTCCTTTGGGATATCAGGGAGGTGCTGGCTTTGGTGTAAGGTGTAGACTTTACAGCAGCAGAAGAGAGGGGGCTCAGGACCTGCCAACAGTTGACATGATGGCTAATATTGTGAACTGAGAGGACTCCCACATGCCAAAAGAGAGGGCCAATTAGTAGCCCTTGCTCCCTCTTCGGTACATCCCAGGCACCGATGCTAGGATGCAGCCTAAAACTCACTATAATTCCTCTAGAGGGTTCTCAGGGGACAGGCTAACCAGGAGAACAGAAGCCCGGTGGGTTCCCACAGAAGCGCTCTAGGGCACCTACAGAGGTGGCTTAGTTATAGCCAAGATGGTCTCTCCCTGATGATGAGGCTCACACCATCTCATTTTTCCTCCTTCAGGTACCTGCATCACCAGCTGCCCTGCTCGCATTTTCTTCTACTATCCCAAACCAAAGTCATCATGCCTCGGGGTCAGAAAAGTAAGCTCCATGCTCGTGAGAAACGCCAACAGGCCCGATGTGAGAATAAGGCTAGAGGGGGTGCTCAGGAAAAAGCAGAAGAGCCCCCTCTAGAAGAGTCCCCTCCCTCCTCATCTGTTTCTGAAGGTGTTACCAAGAGCCTGCCTGTTGCTGAGTCCTGTAGCACTTCCCAGGAGCCTCAGGAAGCTCCACCCACCACCACTACTTCTGAAGTCATTTCTTGCACTAGATCTGAGGAAGATTCCAATGTCCAAGATGAGGCAAAAGAAAGCAATGCTGAGGCCTCACCCTCCAGGAATAAAGTATGCAGAGATCCTATAGCCAGGAAAACTAAGGTGTTGGAGCAGTTCCTGCTCTACAAGTGCAAAATGAAACAGCCCATTATGAAGGCAGACATGCTGAAGATTGTCAACCAGAAGTACAAAGACCAGTTTCCTGAGATCTTCAAGAGAGCAAGTGAGCACCTTGAGATGGTCTTTGCAGTTGATGTGAAGGAAGTCGACTCAACACGTGAGTTGTATGACCTCGTGAGCAAGCTGAAACTCCCCAACAACGGGAGGGTGCGTGGTGGCAGGGGCTTACCCAAGACCGGTCTCCTGATGAATATCTTAGGTATGATCTTCATGAAGGGCAACTGCGCCACTGAGGAAGACATCTGGAAATACCTAAGTATGATGCGAGTATATGCTGGCAGGAAGCACTTTGTCTATGGAGAGCCCAGGAAGCTCATCACTAAGGATTTGGTGAGGCTGAAGTACCTGGAGTACCGCCAGATCCGCAACAGTGATCCTGCACGCTATGAATTCCTGTGGGGTCCCAAAGCCCATGCCGAAACTACCAAGATGAAAGTCCTGGAATTTTTGGCCAAGATCAATGGTACTGCCCCCAGTGCCTACCCAAACCTTTATGAAGAGGCTTTGAAAGATGAGGAAACAAGAGCCCAAGCCCTACGTGTAGCCAAGGCTGCTACTACTGTCAAAGTTTGTGAACTCTGCCGGGCCATGCGTGCAGTATATCTTGCTGACCCTATTGATGTCTGAGTCTTTTTTTAATCATCCAGATTAGAAAATATGACATCACAATAGTTTTTTTCTTGGAAATATAAAAGAGCCCCACTGTACAATGTTAAGTAAGGGGGGTAATATAATGGAGAAAAAATATTAAAACGTGAGCATTCCTTGTTTCCCCTAATTCTCTTTAGTGTTTCATTTTGTAACATTAAGTTGTTTATACTTTGTTTTTCTTAGCTTATTCAAGAAATTAAATGTTAATAAATTAGACCTTGTGTTTACTGACTCTTTTTTTCACCGAACATTAGTTGAACGTCTGCTCTTTGAAAAGCTCTATGCTAGTTCTGGAGATCCTCAGAAAAAGAAGACTCAGCCCCTGCTCATAGTAATTTTGAGCTTGTATGCTGTAATCATTCAAGTAAGATCTTCAGTTACCCTCTATGACTTATAGGTAAAGTAAAAAGAATGAGTGAGGATCAGAGTGTTCCTTTTGAGAGTAGCCAAGTGAGAACTTCCTGTGCAAGTCGGTTTGGGATTTGGGAAAAAGCACATCCTTAGTGGTATGTAACTTTTGTTTAAACTAGTGGGCTAATTGAGGTTGTGAAAGTGATACATAGCAGCCAGCCCTCCAGATGGTGTGCTTCAGAGTTGAGAATCAAAACTCTGAGAGTTAGTCTTCTTGGGCTGCTGTAACAAAATACCATAGACTGCATGGCCTAAACAACAGGAATTTATTTCTCACAGTTCTGGAGGTGCCTACATATTCCATTACTGATGAGGGTACCCTTTCTGGATTGTAGAAATTCACCTTTTCTCTGAGTTTTCACATGGAAGGGAGAGAGAGAGAGAGAGAGAGAGAGAGAGAGAGAGAGAGAGAGAGAGAGAATGCTTTAGTCTCTCTTCCCCTTAAAGGAATGCTAATACCAATATGGGGCCTCCACCCTCAAAATATCCACTAAACCTAATTACCTCTCAAAGGCCCCCTCCCTTCAAATGCCATCACATTGGAGGTTGGATTTCAGCATATAAATTGGGATTAGGGAACAAATACTTAGTGCATAATGGAAAACTACTCCCACAAATTACTTTGGGATTGTGGGTAAACAAGAAACAAGTTTGCATTGGGCAGGAAAGCAAGGTACCTTGTGCTCTGACTCCCGTGCAGATGACCACAGGTTGCAAACTGCATGTTCCATGCACATGTTATCCAAGGAATTTCTGAGAAATAAGGATGATAATCCCTGGAGGTTAATGCATAGAAGCCATTATGTTGGTATTTTTTTGGCCTTGAAATTAGAGAGCTAGATCATATTGCATTCAAAGGGCATTTTAATTAGGTGATCTAGAATGTAATTTGGCAAGCTCTGAACCAGGGCTATATTTTGTTTGTTAATGGTGCAATAAATGTAAATAAATATGACTTTGATGGAAGGCACTTGGGAAGCATGAAAGGACTTGTGCCTTAACATCAATTCTAGAAGCTTGAGTTACATCTAACTAGGAAAGACAATCCCACACTCAAGTCAAATATCAGTTGTTCCCATGGGGAAATTTACATAGTTTTATTTGCTAGGGAGAATTTTTGGCTGGTTCAGTGCCCTTTGTACAAAAGTATTCCATGTTCTCTAACATCTGGATTAAAAAAATATTCCAGGTATTGTGAGTGTTATCATCTGGAATTGAAATAACATTAATAATTGTCATTCTGTAAATATTGGGTAATATTTTATTGTCATCTTGCCTGTGGCTTATATGTAGTATATACATTCCAACAGTCTTATAAGAAAGGGTTTTCCAAATTCACTTGGTGCATGATGAACTTTCAATTGTCTCAAGTTTGCAAGACTGGTAAGTAGGAGAGCTGGGACTAGAGCCCTGGTCTGAATTTAGAGCCCATGCTGTTCCACTGCTCCCACCTGAGGTAGAACTCCTGTCTCTTAATTCACTTTTTGTCAGTACTACAAAATATGTCTCGGGCAATAAAAAAACACTTGTAACCAAAATACTAAAAGCAGGCCTACAAAGGGAAGGTAAATATGAGAATAAATGAAAATTGGGGAATTGTCTTTGTACTTCATTTTCCTAGGATCCTGCCGCTCCTAAGCTCATTGTCACTAAGAATTAACATTGCCCAGGAGCTGATATTTTTTCTAGCCCTTGTTCTTTCTATCTTTACAACACTTTCCCCCTGGAACTTCTCCAGTGTTTACTCCAGTGTGGAACTTCTCCCAACTCTGGAACCTGACCTTCTGGCCAGCTCTTCACCTCCTCACTGTGTCCTCCTCTGATAGCTATCACCTGCTCTCCTCATGACTTAGGGTATCCCAACTCCCTGGTGGTCACTTCCTTCATCATGTGTGTATATCAATTTTGTATTCCTGTTTATGTGATAACTTCTCCTTTCTTCCCTCACTGTTTGCTTCTTTATCTCTCTTGCTCACTCTCGCTCTCTTGCTCTCTTTCTTGCTCATATTTTTCCAATTCTCCTTTTAATACATTGTTTAAATAGTTTCTGATTGTTAGTTTATGGACCATTTTATTTATACATTTATTGCTGTGTATCAAGTTTAAAGTGGGAGTTTTTATATTTTGTGGAACTAATTGGGAAACTTCCTCTTATTTTGTGTTCCAGAGTAGGCTAACATGATATTGTAACAGGTATTTCTTTAGAAATGTGAGAGGTCTTAGCAATTACATTGTTGTGATCAAGGAATAGAGAAAAATAAAGTAAAATATTGTCAATTTCTGTCTTTTATATTATTTTCAGCTGTTTTTTCTGTAAAATTAAATGGCATACACCTGGATTTGTTTATCTTATTTAAGAATTTAGGAAAAATTATATTTTTAATATATTAATATTTGATACTGTACTTATTGACACATGTATTCACTTAACCTTAATTGGGCATCTGCTATATGGAAGACACTGTGATATTATTGCTGAAGGTGTCAGGATTTTTGTTTACAGGAGCACTAGTCTCACAAGAAAGATTGTGAGATGTCATACTAGAATAAAGGGACCAATAAAAAGATAGAATTTTCTCCCATTCTGTAGGTTGTCTGTTTACTTTCATGACTATTTCTTTGGCTGTGCAGAAGCTTTTCAGTTTGATCATGTCCCATTTATTTATTTTTGTTGCTGCTGTGATTGCCTTTGGGGACTTCTTCATAAACTCTTTGCCTAAGCCAATGTCTAGGAGAGTGTTTCATTTTCTCTAGAATTCTATATGTCATACCTTAGGTTTAAGTCTGTTATCCAGCGTGAGTTGATTTTGTGGAGAGGTGAAAGGCGTGGGTCTGCTTCAGCCTTCTACAAGTGCTATCCAGTTTTCCCAGCACATTTATTGAAAAGGATTCTTTTCCCCAGCGTATGTTTTTGTCTGCTTTGTCAAAGATTAGATGGCTATATGAGGATGGTTTTATATCAGGATTCTCAGATCTGTTCCACTGGTCAATATTCCTATTTTTGTGCCAATACCAGATTGTTTTAATTACTGCAGCTTTGTAGTATAGTTTGATATCTGGCATATTGATACCTCCCATTTTTTTTGTTGCCTAAGATTGCTTTGTATTCGGTGTCTTCTCTGATTCCATACGAAGCGTAAATTATTTTTTCTATATCTGTGAAGAATGCTGATGAAATTTTAATAGGTATTGCATTGAATCTGTAGATCAGTTTGGGTAGTATAGACATTTTAATAATGTTGATCTGCTGACCCACGAGCATGGTATGGATTTTCATCTGTTTACATCCTCTACTATTTCCTTCTTCAGTGTTTCATAGTTCTCCTGTAGAGGTCTTTTACCTCCTGGTCAAGATATTCCTAGGTACTTTATTTCTTTGTTGCCATCATACTGATAAGGGGCTGATAACTAGAATCTACTTAGAACTCATGAATCAGCAAGAAAAATCCAATAAACCCTTTAAAGTGGGCAAAGGACTTGAACAGAACTTTTCTAAGAGACAGAAGAATGCCACAACAGTATATAGAAAAATGTCAACACTCTAATCATCAGGGAAATGCAATCAAAAGCCACAAATGAGATATCCACTTAACTCCAGGTGAGAATGGCTTATCAAAAAGTCCCCAAACAATAAATGCTGGTGTGGATGCAGAGAGAGAGTAACACTCTCACACTGCTGGTGGGACTGCAAACTAGTTCAATCTCTGTGGAAAGCAATATGGGGATACCTTAATGATACAAGTGAATCTACCATTTGATCCAGCAATCCCATTACTGGGCTCTACCCAAAAACCCAATGACACTCTACAAAAAGACACCTGCACTCGAATGTTTTATAGCAGCACAATTCATAATCGCAGAGGCTGTGGAACAGTCCAAGTGCCATCAATCCAAGAATGGATTAATAATAATGTGGTAAATGCTACCATGGAGTAATTCAGCTCTAAGAAACAACGTGGATATAGCACATCTTATATTTTCCTGGTTAGAGCTGAACCATACTACTAAGTGAAGTATCTTCAAGAATGGAAAACAATACATATACTCACCGCAAACTGGTATTAACTGAGCACACCTAAGTGGACACATAGGAACTACAGTGAATTGGTATGGCAGCGGGGAGGGGGGCGGTTGTATATACATACATAATGAGTGAGATGTGCACCATCTGGGGATGGTCACGCTGGAAACTCAGACTTGTGGGGGAGGGGAAAAAGGGCATTTTTGAAACCTTAAATTGTACCCCTCATGATATGCTGAAAAAAAAGAAGTAGAATAAGGACCCTGGGTCCAGATGAGTGAGTAAGTGGCATTTAAGGTGTAAATTCTTAAAGGCAGTTCCATTTTGGAAACTGCAAGTTCATCAGTGAGACTGAAATTAGTAGCTATGTCATCTGTGCCATGGAGACAGTAGGGCTGTGGGATTGGGAACAAGGGTCAGAGTTGAGAGACTAAGCGTTGGAACGCAACATGGTTCTGAATCCTGGACAGAGATTCTCTTGATGTAATCAAGTAGATGTTTCAGGCCTTTCCACTGTGTTTGAAACAGTTTGCAAAGAATTATTTACCTATGTTGTCTAAAAAGATTTTCTGAAAAAAGTGTTACACTCTTTTGGCTAGTCTGTGGATACAGTTGCTGGCATTTTTCCTTGGCTGGAAAAATCCTATTCAATTTATATAGACATTATAATTTCTTT